AATGCATTTTGATTTTATCACAGCGTACTTGAACTTGCGTTTTAAAGATCGAAAAAAGAATATCGTGCGTTTAGATTTACGTCCGTTCTTTTCACGACGTGTCGTTACGCCATTTGTGTAATTCTATGAAATCTCTTCACGGTCATATCCGCGATTCTCATTTTGCCATGCGCGAAATCATATAAATTTAACGTCACGTTCTCCGGCCGCGTATAAATATCACTAATAATTTTCCGTCTGAAGACGGCCGTAATCTGCATGTCTTTCAACGACAGTGAAAATGCACACGTCTGAACCGGATGCGTAGGTTACGCGTCCCTGACCTAGGATGTTTCGATTTTATAGAACTAAAAGAGCCGGCAACGAGCGTCCCGACCGTGAGAAGTACTAAAATACCCATCTGAGAGAATCTTCAATAATTTCAATAATTTTAATGGTTATCGTAATTTTGTTTCGTGGCACGATAATCCTCTTACATAATCGGAGAATGAGAAACGAGAGAACTGTGTAGGAAATTTACATAATAGTGCATTAACGATCCAGTCAAATTTGTAGTCATTAAAGGGACATTCGATTCTCAGATCGGAATTACATTCACCCTCCTAATACAATTAACGTCCCCATATTCATCAATATTCAGAAACACACGGTAATCCCGGCGGGTATAACTCTAACGTTCGCTAATAACATTCGAGAGGTAATGCACGGTTGAAATAGTACGATTAATAGGTAAACGCGACCGTAAACAAATCTGCGGATATACGGTCGTCGTATTTATATGGATGAAACCATCGTGCGAGGAACGTGCGCGCTCTGAAAACGTACGATAGAGAAAGGAAACAACGGGAAAGAGGGAATGAGAAAGAAAGAAGAGCCAAGCGAGTAGTGGCGAGAGCGAAACGCCTGGAGGTGCTTCTCCGTTGAACGCGCGGTGTTTAAAATCAAACGGAAACCCAGTTTAAGCCCAGGGTACCTCTCCAGCATTCACTAATAATAGAGCAGATACTGGAAGGTTAGAAATACGACTTCCTCCCTTTGGCACGCCGCGCCGCGCCGCGCACGCTGTGCCCCGTGTCCTAAAAATAACGAACGGACGTTCGACACACGTTCATCAGAGCGAGGAAAGAAAGGGCGAAGATGAGCCGCAGGGCGGCTGTCCAATTCAAACAGTAGGTACCCCCCGCGCACCAGCACGTGCTTCCACTTATCCCCGGCGATAAGCCGTTGGATTTGTACGTGCGTGCGCGTATACGATGAGCCACGACCTGGAAAGCGTGTGAACTTGTAACCCGGCATCGCTGGTTTCAACCTCGTGACCAATTCAAAGTTCGAATGAACGAAAGACCGAGAATCTTGAGGCCGGTATCATGTTTGGTTTGCGATATATCTACAACAGGCCTATCCAATTTGAGCTCCGAAGCCAAAAAGCAAAGCCACTGACGTACAAAAATCAATAAGGGTAAGACTTCAAAGACTGTAAAGTTTAGAGTCTATGAAATCTTAACTTTAATCACATTAAATTTTTTTGCGACTCCGACGCTCAAATTGGATAGGTCTGATCTACAGCGTATATAACACTAAGGCTCAGTTTCACAACTCACGCTTAACTCTTAACCGAGGTTCAACTTATTTCTCATCTCTTTCCAATTCTAGCATTAGAAAAAGATGAGGAATAAGTTATGAATCTCGATTAAGAGTTAACCATGAGTTGTGAAACTCTGGCCCGGTATATTCTTAGTCAATTCTTATATTTAAGACCGTCTTAAGTAATCTTAAGATGTCATGAACCAATCAGAGGGCCGCATCAGCGACTTAAGACGATCTTAAATATAAGATATACCGATCTATATATAAATTCATGATATAAATACCGATCTATATATAAATTCATGATTAATAATACCTACACGAGTTTTTCGTTAAATTATCTTCGATTTCGCCACAGGTCTTTGAAAGTTATGCATGTACGTGCATTTTTTCCCTTTGCCCTTCCGCATACGCACGAGTGCGTAGCTTTACCGCATATTTGCTTGGATTCAATTGAGCAAATAGAGAAACGGCTCTTCGTCTGTGAGGCCTTCCTCGGGTCACAGGATCGATACCGGTTGGAGGTTTGTGATGCGGACGGTGTTGTGATGCGCATTATAATTCTATTCATAGGAGACCCTACACTATCGATTACGCACAGAAGTGGCTAATGTCGATGAACTCGATCTGTACATAGGACATCGCATTTCGAGATATAGTACCAGCATATATTGCCGTTTTGCATGTCGAGCTCGACTAAATTAGAGACTCGATAGAACTGGATCTCGTATAACTGCAACTACCTTTTTTCACCAACGAACACGGATAAAATCTTATTTTCTGTGTAATTCTAAATAAAAAACTTTAATAAAATTCAAATGAAAGCACAATAATAACTAGATTTTACGTTAACGAACTAAGTCAGGTTTAATACTAAAAATTATATGGCAAATATTCTAAATATACAAACGTTTCAGCTTCTATCAGATTATTTTTAATGAAAAAATTATCAAATGTCAGTTAAATATACAAATCAGTAAACTGTAAATATTGAATATCAGTTATAAAAATTAATGAGATTTAATAAAACTTCAACCTTTTTTTGCAGCTCTATCATTAAGATATTTAATACTAAAAATTATCAAGTAGTTGATCTGACTTGCGATTATACCCAATTTGAATGCAGCAAAATTTAATTTCGTGCATTATTCTTATCGTATGACGTGTATCACGCTCGAAATGCTCCCGGTTATTCGCAATAATCACGCGATCGTAAGATGTCGAGGATAAGTGCACACCGTCTCTACATTCATCTATTCCGTCTGTCACCGCATAATACACGATGTGAATTCTTGTCCAACGATTACTGATCAATGTAATCGCGTTGCCTTTCACGCAAGATAAGAGCTCGATGGAATCTCCCAACCGCGTTTATCGCGTGACATCGCGATCTTCGATGCTACTTCGCGAATCTCTCAGCTTCGATTTATCGGTCGAAAGTTCAACAATAAATTTAGTAATATTCAAAAAATTGCAACGTTTCTTAGAAAGCTCTAAATTTCTTTTAAAAAATTTTGTACCTTATAATACAATCTAGATAATACAATACAATAAATTATACACGTCAAATACAATAAATTAAGCACGGAGGCCGTGCGAGTTTTACCTTAGGACCATAAAAATTAATTTATAAGACAGATAAGATGCTACTTTATGAAGCTACCGCTCTTGGTTAAACTCTTCAACTCCGTCTTTCTCCGATCGAACTCTGCTAACTACAGCGTTCCACGAAGCAAGGATCTCGTCGTCGTCGTCTCTATCGAATTGTGTTCTACTGATCACGCAAACGATCGTAAAAGCAGGATCCTGACAGAGGATCGCTCGTTTCGGCGCGAAACGGGTTAAAGGCGAGTTAATGGCGAGTCATCCGGCAAAGAAATACGTCGACGCGACGGACGACCGGAGAGTCGAGGATAGTCGACTGGAGGATTCTCCTTCCTTCTCTCCGAGGGAGATTTTTCTGATGACCCGCTGCAAGGACCTTTTCGCGACCGGACGTCTATCTTCGCGCGATCGCGGAGTCGTGGCGCACGCCAGGGTGAAAGTTACTCGTCGCGACATAAACATCCTGGATAACGATTACGATAAAATTCAACGAGTCGGCCAATTTCCCATCCAGGCGAAATGCCGTGTCACTTATTCGGTTTCTCTTTCAAACGTATTTCTTTCAGGGGGATTCCGCTAAGTATCCGAACAAGTATTTTTCGTTACTTTATAGTTTTTAACGTTAGATATCTCAACGATATTAAGCCGCAAATTAAATTTCTATTAAAGTCAGATTCGTTGAAATTACATAAAAAAATAACATTTCATTGCTCGTTCATGTTTTACAATTCATAATCGTATAAGTACCGGTATTTTCGTTAAAAGAAAATCGGCTCTAAATTGTACGAAAGAGTCGCAAGTAAAATTTCTTACGTACATAACTTATATATAATAACAATATATAATACATCCTATGTCTATACACAGAAAAATATTATTCTATTATTAAGAAAAGTGATTTTACACTCGAGTTACACTTTCTTTCTTTAAGTAACGATTCTCTTTAACAAAGAATATTTTCTTGACAGTAATCTTAAAATATATTAGGTGTTGGAATTAATTCGTAGCGTTTTTTAATGAAAGAATGTTATTTATTTCACATGAGCATTAAAAAATACATTAATGAAAGTACTTCCCATCACTTGTAAAACGCTACGAATTAATTCCAACACCTAATACTTATTAGAAATTTTATAAATCTATTATTATGTATTAAAACAAGAATTTATTTTTTTTTTAAAGAAATTATAAAATTGATCAAAAAAGTGATTTATAATAAGCAAATCTAATTTTAATTTAATCTTCAGTATTATCTTGAATATACAGTATCTTCTTGAAATATTAAACTTACTAGAATATATTTTGAATAAATTTGATGCTTGTGATGAACTTATGACAAATTTGTGAACATACATAAACTTTTGAAATATTTGAAACAAACAAATATTATTTGTGTACAGTATTTTTCTGTATATATATTTAACTTTATTTCATACTGATAATATATCTTCCAACGATGCAAGCGCCTACAAACTATGTCTAAAAGGATATCATAATCCCAGAATTCAATAATCCCTCATTAAAATTGACTATTAAGATCTTAATTTTACCGCTTTATTTAAAAATAAATGTATGTTTAAAAGGCGTATAAACGAGATTGGTCGGAGGCGGGATGTACGTTCGTATATATGACGAATCGGCCAGACGGGGACGGCGACCTGCGTCCAACGCGATCCTTTGTCAAAGTCCCTTAATCATAGCCTCATTTCTCAAGCGGAATCTCCCGCGGATCTCCGAGCGTGGAGTACGCGGCGTGACGAACGACTCAATTATTGTCCGGCGCACCCCTCGAGGGGGACTTCACTTACCTCTTCCACAAGAGATCTCTGCATATTGGTCCAGCATAGTTTGCACGGGCACACGTCCTTACTCGGCTCCTTTGGGTTCTCATTCCGTTCGCGGTCCCGCGTGTTACCGGCGGTCTGATGCGGCGGCGGCGGCGGCACCGGCGGCGGCAGCGGACTGGTGGCCACTTCGAGGCTGTCCGAGCTCGAGTTGTGGCGTCGCGGCGGCGTAATATTGCTGCTGACGTTCGCCTGCTGGCAGGTCGCCTGCCTAATCTCGCACGACCTGCCATGCTCGTTGCCGCATTTGATGGCGTGCGACGGGGACATGTATAGATTCAACATGCACTTGTTGTTGCTCGGCTGCTGTGGCTGCGGTCGCAGGAAGTCGTCCAGAAGATAAAAGCTTTGCGCGCGGCTCGATCGTGTAGTGGAGGTCGTGCCGCGAGTCTCTACAGCGCTCTGTTCCGCGGCTCTGCAATGGTCGCGTCCTTCTCTAATGCTCCTGCATTGTTCGGGATCATCCAGCTGATGTCGATTACGATGCGTAATGTGTCTCTCGTCGAGCTCGATTGTCGGTTCGCTATCTTGGTACAACCTGCGGCTGACCTTCGACTTGCCAACAATTTGACCAAACTCTCCGTTCTCCCGGTAAATGTCTCTACTGGCACGGGATACTCGTGCCGAGTAGGACGTCGGTTGTTGATAGCGCGTCTTACAGCTCGACCCTCGCGATTCCTCGCGGAAGTGATCACTCTCGATCATGGATACGCTCATGTTATGAGTCAGGGAATTCTGGCTGACGTGAGAGCTACTGCTGGCTCCGACGGGAGTCCTTAAAAGTGCGCCAAGGGATCGCCATTTCCGATCCTGTTGGTTCGTCGATGTGGACGAAACCGAGGATCTGTTCCACTTCCTCTCATTCGATGGTGACGTCAACAGACTGTTACCCACGGACCACTTCCGTTCATTCGTAGGCGATGTCATCGAGGACGGCCACTTTCTCTCATTCGAGGGTGACGCCATCGAAGTACCCGACCATTTCCGTTCCGAGGACGGTGCGCTGATAGCGGCAGTGGCACCGCCAGTTGCATTTAGCTGTTCCTCCCGTTGTCGGGCCTTCCACCAGGATGATGTTGAAGTAAAAAGGATTAATGCGCCCCGTAATGGATTCTGGTTCTTGGCCGTTCCCTTCGGCGAGAGGTCGCGGTGATCCTTGACTTTCAACGGGCAGTCCCTGAAATTGGAATCGCATTCTCGGTCGCTAAACGCAGCGGCGTCGCGCTGTTCCCTCAGGGCGTTCTTCGCGGCCGCCACCTCCTCCTCGTGATACAAGGTTGCATTCGTGCTGCGCAACCGTGGACGGATCCGCACGAAGCCGTAATCGTTGCCGTCCTGAAGGACAGGATCGAACGGTTCGCGGGACTGTTGTTGGTGATGCTGCAGGAGAGAGCAATGCGCGGCCGCCGCAGCCGCAGCTGCCGCCGCCTGGCCGCTGGACGTGTACTGATGATGACCGTTGCTCAGTTGTAGACTCGGCTGTTGCAGCAATGTTGAGGTCCTCGCGCGATGACCCTCGCCGGCGGTGCCGCGTTGCAAGCACGAGAAGCTCGCCGAGTGCCGCAAGCTCGAGGGCGTGTTGCCCGGCTGACTCACGCCCAACATGTCGCCACCTTTTATTTTCAGTCTTTGATCTCTCGAGGGAGAGAGAACGGATGTGTGTATATATTAATATAAGCGTGTACGTGTATACGTGACGAAGGCAGGACTGACACGAAGAGGGACTGGCAGGAAGGGGGGGCAGGTAGAGAGGCAGTTAGCGAGGAGCAAAAGCTAAGATCGACCAAGGAACGGTTCAGCGGACGAAGCGGCAATCTAGCTCGTCATTACTCCTGGCAGTGTTTTTATCAGTCTCGCGATAACATCCGGCGTGTTCTCTCGCGAGTGAGCAAAGAGGTATCTCTCCTTCTTTCTTCTACGCTGACCTGTTCTTCCCTCGGTCAATTCCTCTTCCCTGTATCGCGCGCATCATCATCGTCGTCTTGACTTGAAATTCGTGCGGTTCGCTCTCGTTGAAAAGCCCCACATGGGCTACATCCTCGTCGTTACTGGAGATGCCTATAGATGATATGAGATCTGTAACAGAAAGTAGGAACAGGGTAGGGAATGGCAACTCAAAAGAAAAATGGCTACGATGAAACGAAGCGTCCGTCGGTGGCGCATTCGTGAAAAATTAAAGTGCTCGATGAAGTGAATTGGGTGGGGGGGTTTGGGGGGGGGGGGGGGGGTCGTAGGGAGAGAATGATTTTATAGTCGTGACTCGCGTGAAATGTGGGTGAACGCGATGGTGCGATGATTATTCCTAGAATTGGCTGTTGAAACTCCAACGAGTTGATTTGTTGGAGGGATCGGCGAGAGTTGAAGGTCATTCTGCGGCTAGTGTTCGAGGCATGATATCGAGATAGCTATCGAGGTGTTTTCTATGAATTTTATCACGTTTCTACGACAATGCGCGAACAACGAGGTGGAACAAGCATTTTCTCGGAAATCTAAGCGGAGTTCTAAGCAGAAATGCTAGATATACGATGAATAATGTATACGATTAAGGGATAAATTTAACGTTGATGTAAGATGTATTGATATCAGATAAAACTTACAAGTAAAATGTTAATCAAAGATTTCTTAAGAGATATTTAAATAAACAGATAAGAATATTTTCTTTAAATACTTGCTAAATCTACTCATCTCTGAATTTACACATACATTACTAAATATGTTTAATTCAATATATTTCTCGTGTGAACTGTGTGTACAAAATACATTACAAACGTAGTTCTATTTCTCTATTAAAATATGATACTAGGAAATTAGATGGTAAATGTGAGGGTAAATGTAAATAGAAGTACAGAATTAGAGCGTATCGCGTCCGGATGCAAATACGATGTTTGTTTGCTGTTTGATTATATATACTTTTGCCAAGTATGTATGGTTGTACGTTGCTGAAATTGCAACACGGCGTAACAAATGTAACAGTAACAGAATTTTCATTAAAACATCGTCAATAAGCATCGCGCCAATGAAACATGATTAATGAAACAAAACCGCAAGTCAAGTTTTAGTACAATGATTAAAAATCAATGATGCATTGGCATGCTGCTCGATGTAGAATGCAACGTATCAGAAAAAAAGCTGTGGGAGGAGGAAGAAAAGAGAGGTCGAGATTCACAGAACTATTTTAAACAAGGATGAAGGAAAAAGGTTTACTTCAAAATTAAAGACATCCTCTTTTTTAAGTCTGCAGGATTGACACAATTATTTCCTAATTAGCGCAGACCGGACCGTCGTTGACGTAGTTAGCATTTGTAAAGAACGTCTGGCGACTGATTAAAAAGATCCGGTGTACTTAACGGCGCTACAACAATGTTTAAAAATCGATTTGAAAGTGAGGAAAGAAATACGTATTGCACAAAACTTTCGTATTTCATTAAACAAGTTGGCGTCTCTAAGTATCAGCGGAGTTATTGGAAACAAACATTAACTCGTAGCTATTCTACCCGTCACTATTCTTTTTTTTATGTAAATGATCACCTGAGTTGTTTTTAATATTCTATTAAAATCATTATTAATAACAATGCATTGTACATTATTGTTTTTTTATAACCATTTAAGAGCATTATAGATATAAAATAATTTCACCACAATTTCTGAAAAAATAGAAATCAAACGAATATTAAATAGAATAAACACACTAAGCGTTTGAGCTTATTATGATAATATTTGTAAAAAATAAATTTTATTAATATAATACTTATTTATTACGGGTTTTTGATTAGCATATTTATAAAAGTTCGTAAAGAACAGAAGTTGTTAAAAAAGAAATATGTTAAATAACAAGTAAGTTCGTACAGAACAATATTTTACAACGTTTCACACTTTTTCACAACTGAGATGTAAAAATATCCCAGGTGACTATTCCCAGATTAAGAAAGCTGCGAGAAGACTGCAACATAGTCGTAGTACTAGGTCAACCTCATATCTTAATTAAGTTCCTTGCAAACGAGACTGCGTTCGCTTTGTCGATATGTCGTCACACGATATATCCGAGGCAAGACTTGATCCACTCGTATCGCATGTGAGTTTTAAGCAATTATCCACGTCGCAACAATAATAGTGCGTAATACATCCGGCGACTCCGCAACACCCTATAGGTACGGCGACGCGATCGAAATGGAATCCACTCGCTCGTGCTGAGTTCTATATGAAGCAAGTTACACACCGCTCCCCAGGATTTCTCTAGCTTTGTAGCAATGATCTAACGCGGCCGTCTACTACGTGTCTGTACGTATGTAGGTGCGCAAAACAGTGAAAGGTTTTTCAAGACGGGAAAGCAAGTGACACCTACACATCGACACAGCAGCGGCTGCGACGTGCGCGATGCGAAAAGGCAAGGCCGTTCGCGCGGATAAAAGTTCGCGCGCGTGTTCTTGCGAAATCGATCCCCGAGTCGCCGCCTGTCGCAACAATAATGACGTGTAATGGAATAGCCGCGGATCGCGCGCGCAAAGACCGTCAATTTCGCGCACTGCCAATTAGATATCGGACATTTGTCGGTCAATCGATCGTTTTTCCGCGCGCGATTACCCATCGGTCTCGAAGCGAACTTGTTCACGCCACTCGCTTCTTGGCTTCACTGAGATCCTTTCCTTTCGATGCAATCTCTCTGTCCTTGAGATCGACATTTCTCGGGCACCTCACCTATACGGATCGCATCACGTTCTATATATTATATATATATATATATATATTGTATATATATATATGCAATCATCACGTAATAAATTCTCGTCTTTATTCGTGCAGCTCTGGTTGCTCGCAGTAGTCGATTCGCAATATTTACATACACCATTATATTCTTGGATACGACGATCCGGCGTTAAGTTTAAATTGCACTTTACTACGGCCAGCACTCTTTGGCGGATGCAAAGTGGTCGTCGGTTCGTTCTCGTTGCGAACGCGCGAATGTTCTCGCAGAACGCGAAAGCGCCAGTCAATTAGCTCGACGATTTGACCGTGTCGTTACTAAGCAAGCGATATACATCATCCTAGAAAATTGCGGGCCAAATAGCATTCAGGGCATAAAGTCGACAGTCATTGCGCGCGGAATGTACCTGTCTAATTAAAATAAAAGCAATGAGTTTCAACCGATGAAGGTACCTGCACATGTTGATAAACATGTGATCTCTGAATGTAACAGAATTGTAATTTAGCAGCTCATAGTATCATAAACATTTTTATTCGTGACTCGCGTTAAAAATGGTTGATATCAGAAATGGTGATAGCTCTTCAAATTTCTACTGTAAAATCAATAGTAATCCATCGCAGAATCTGATAGAAGTTTTCTTAATTCGGAAATTGTCACCTGGTTTTATATCCCAGCAGTGAGAAAATATGAATGTTTTAAAACTAAATATTGCACTGTTTTCTTTTCTTTTATACATATTTTCTTTCTTTTTTAGAAACTATTCTTTATGAATCTCTAAATATGCAATTCCATCGTAATACAAAAGTGTTATGTCAATAAAAATATTTATTTTTTAGAAATACTGACGTAATAAGCTACTTAATGTGCTTATTCTGGTTATTTGTTTAGTTTCTGCTTACTTTTTTCAAAAAATTGTCAATAAATTCATATTTATAATATTCAAATGTCAATAAATCGGAAAAAAATAATATGTTGTTAATAACAGTGATTTCAATTGACTCCAGGTGACCGTTTACGTAAAAATATAAGATAACTACTCCCGGTACATCCTATAATGTACATTAATGGAGCACCATGTGCACGAATATCGGCTGATCGCCGTGTACACAGACCTCGCAAAACTCTCACCTCGCTTTGTTCGATGACTTCGCGCGCAACACCGCAAGAGACGTAATCCGCGCGCATTTGCGCTCTGTATAGCGCGAGTCAACCTGGTTAACGTAATTGGCCGGAATCTTCGGCCGTAACTAATTACAGGCCCGGTATATAATAAGCGCGCTCGGGCGGCGCCGCGACTTGCTCAAGATTCGTTACGAAAGAAATTTGAAAGCTCTTCCTCCTCGGGCGCATCGTCCAGGACTCCGGATCAGTTTTGAAAGGAGGCGGATTGCGCGAATTCACGACAGAAAAAAAACACATATGACGGACTGTTGCAGACTCGCAATGGGAGATTTCCGCTTTCAGACGAATCACAGACTTGTCATAGAAAATAAGAACGCAATGCACCAAGTTATATATAGTTAACCACGTCAGAACGAAGTAGAAAAATACGAACTCTGACACAAAGAGAAATTAAATAGATAGTTATTTATCTCAATCGAGACTTAAGCGTTAACAATCAACTTGATATATCTTTAGAATGTACTATCCTTGTAATGGAGAAAGGATTGCAGGCGACCAGTCACGATGCAACAGCGTGCTATTAAAATATGTGCTCACTCCATTATTCTTTTTAAGTGTGCAATTAAGACGGAATTACTTATCGGTGAGTCAGTTAACTTTTAGTCGTCGGATGAAGAGAATTTCTCGATTATATATTATTACTAACGTGCTTTGGCACGGTCCAATTCAATATGGAGTTTGTAACTTACGACAGATTTGCATTGCCGCTCGGTGGGATTGCGCAGTTGGATAATTCGCAGTATGATTTATTGAGCGGAAGATATTTCCACGTTCACGAGATTTCACGGCAAGCTGCAGTCACAAGATCTCACGTATGCATATCTGGACGCGTTAAAACCGCGTTTGTCAAATCCACGCAGCACGTTATGATCTGTCGATTTCATCGCGCGCAAAACAACAATTGTTTTCCTCTACATCAATGCACTATATGCACCATGGCACTATATGAAGACACGCCTGACTCATTCTTTTTCGTTACACAATTCTATTCCGTCATATTTCTGTAATTTCTGTAACAATTCTCGCGGATTCACCTCGCCATTTGAGGAAACGTTTTTCGTAATAACAAGATTATTCATTAGCAATAATAGAAAGAATTTCTGTTAGAAATAGCTCCGTTAATTTGAAGTGGGTATCGACTAATGAAATTCGCAACTAAAGAAGAAAGGAACATTTGAACATTATGTAACCA